AGTTGCTCTGCCCCAGGCTTCCTGGAATCAGCTGCTGATCAGTTTCAGCAGCAGCTGACTTGGGGACGCTTGGGGTTCTTAAGTTGATTGTGTATGTAAGTCAGAGCTGGCGGTCAGTTTCAGCAGCGGCTGAATCTGAACGCCAGTTCCGACTTACATACAGATTCAACTTAAGAACAAACCTACAGTCCCTATCTTGTACGTAACCCGGGGACTGCCTGTATATTGCATGATGCAAATATTAGATATAACCAGTGTACAGAGCAGGGGAGAGACCACTCCAAGATTTTGAAAAGTTGTCAAGGGCCGCACATTTCTGTGGAGGAGGTGCCGGGTTTAGCATGGAAGTTGGGTGCAGAAGGGTAAAGCAGGTTTAGAACTGATATTTGCTGATTTCTTATAACTATTTAGAGAACATATATGGTGATTAAGGAGAATGGAGAGGATTGCATTCAGATAGCTGAGAAGAGGAAATATTAGAAATAACGTAGAGACAAATATATTTTTCCTTTTTCTGATTATTGGTATTATTAATTATTATTCATAATAAAACTTAGCTCATATATAGTATTAATAGAAACTGATATAATATCATTTTGCATTCCAGTTAAAGCCTGAGGCCCAATTATGCAAGTGTTTTTGATGTGAATAAGGATTTTTGGTGAGAGAGAGCTTTGTGGGATTGGACTCTTGGTTTCTGTTTTCATAATTGTGTAGAAATATGACATGCATGGAGCAGGGTAAATCATTTTTAAAAGTTTGAAGTAAAGAAATTAATCTTTTGGAAGGTACAGATAATAGACGTCAACATCAGTAAGACCTTAAATAAAACCAAACCATTTTTTAACAGAAATTGGACCCTTCTGAAGCCAATGGAATAATATTGAGATATGAAGTGACTGTGAGAGCAAGGTCACGTCTGTCACCATCACCTGCAACATACAATGTTAATAGCACAAACCTGACTTTAAATTTAACAAATGGAACATACGAAGTGACAGTAACTGCTCATAACAAGATCGGTGGATCTCCTCCATCATTTTTGCTTATTCCAGCAAGTAATTCAAAAGGTTAGTTTCTTTCTTGATTTTTAAGAAATCAAATAGATTTTTAATTATTTAAAAAAAAAAGAAAATCGCCCAAATAAGAATCCTTAAAAAAAGATTCTTACATCTCTTAATGTTATACTTAAGTCTCATACTTGCAATATAATACTGGAAGAGCTTCCGCTTTCTTTGTTTTTAAACTGCCAGCATATGTATTAACTGGGGGAATAAATGTGATCACTCCTTGGTATAGGTCTCTTTCATATAGTGTGTCCACATATTGATGGGCCACAAATTAATCTCCCTACTCAACCGTGATTATGCAAACTACTTCCTCTGCAGTTGACTGCATAACATCCTTTGTGCTAACAGTCATATTAAATTATTTGTGTACAGGCAGTCCCCAAGTTACGCGGATCCGACTTACGTCGGATCCGCAGTTACGAACGGGGCCCTCTCCCTGGTCTCCAGCAGACCAGGGAGAGGGAGCAAAGCGGCGGAGCACACGGGCAGCGGACAGCCCAGACGCGTCTGCTGGAGACCAGGGAGAGGGAGGGCCCCGTTCGTAACTGCTGATCCGACATAAGTCGGATCCTTGTAACTCGGGGACTGCCTGTATAGACAAGGCCTAAGGATGCACTTCCTGGCCTGGAAGCATATTGATCTGCTTGGGGTGTAGACTCCACTTCCTCCTTGGAGAGCAGCCCATTTAAACCCTCAAGCTATGCCAGGAAAACTTGTCAATTACCCATTTAGTGTACCTAGCCACAAGTTACAACATACCTTAAAAACTACTGCTTTAAGGTTGTTTTTTTTCCATAAAACTGAATTGTTGGTAGCTTGAAGTGTGTGCAGTGTTAATCCCGAAACCCACATTTGGATCCAGGTTCCCCTCACTCCACACTCTCCGGTACCTATCTGTGGGAAGCCGTATGTATGGCTTCCAAATGTAATAGCTACCTCCAATATATCTCTTCCTCTGCCTGTTGGAGAGAGCTTGATTAATAGAGTTTTTGTTTGCCATGAGTTTTGCATTCAATGTTGAAAGGGGTGAGGATTCTTATTTCATGTGACAGAGCTGCTCTGTCTACATCCAGTGCCTGTCTCCCACACTCTTGAGCCTCACCCTGTTTCTCAACAGTTTTTATTTTTCCAGTGGAACATTGTTGTCATGGGAAGGCAAGATCATGACAGAAGAGTAGTGGTAAATAGAGGGCTCAGAATACTGTGAAACTGGTCCAGTTCAAGGTCTCAGTGTTCTGCTTTGTTTGGGAAGTCCGGGCAGAGCATGAAATAGCAATTTCAGGTTTTGTACCAAATAGGCATTTCAGGGCATGTGGCGTGATTCTGAGCTTGTTACCAAGTCTAGCAGTCACACATGCCTGGTTTATATGGCCTGGTCTGTATCATTCACCCTGCTTTTTCTGTCTTGATTCCCAGAAGGATGTGTTAATTGATACATGCCTACCTGCCCATCAGGTGTGGAGCTCATGGGCCCCCTTTCAAGGCAGCTGTTCACCTCTCCTGTTGACTCTGTGTAGATGAGGCATTATGCACACAGGAAGGATTTTACATGAGCGGCTGAATCTGGACACCAGTTCCGACTTACATACAGATTCAACTTAAGAGCAAACCTACAGTCCCTATCTTGTACGTAACCCGGGGACTGCCTGTATAGAAGATTTACCTGACATTGCTGGGGTCCTGAACTCAAATAATTTTTGTTTTTCTTCATCTAAATCGTTGTTCTAGGGCAGGGTGGGGCAAGAGGGGTTCAGTATGCAGGCTGTACCAACCCCAGCCCTCTCACCGCAGCAGCTTGGGGGCAGGTGAGAAGCACCTGTCCATGGCTGCTGCAGTTGCAGTGGGCATAGCCAGGGGAAGGTGCATGTCCTCCAGCTGGGGGACAGACACACACTCTAAAGTATATCATGTATAGATACCCCTTTATCCACCTCTGCTGGCTCAATGGGGTTATAGCTGTCCCAGTCCCCATCTCTGGCCCCTTGCTACCCCCTTGTGGTCATTCTACAGCAAGAGTGGGGAACCTTTTTTGGTTCAGGGGCCGCTGACCCACAGAAAAAGGGGCTATGAGAAGCAAAAAACAGTAACAACAAAAAATTAAAAACCCTCACTGATGTGTTCCCTGACTGAGAAGAATGACACTCCCCACATTCCCCTTGCACACCAGAGCTCTAGCAAAGGGCCCAGCCTAGTAGACTCTGTATCCTCCAGCCCTGCGGTGAGGTGGCAGGAAGAAACAGGTGAAGGAACAGGCTGGTGGAAGGGCATAGCGGCCGGGAGGAGGTGGCAAGCATAGCAGACAGAGGGGGGGAGGTGGCGGCACACATAGCGGCCAATGACACTCCCCACATTCCCCTTGCACACCAGAGCTCTAGCAAAGGGCCCAGCCTAGTAGACTCTGTATCCTCCAGCCCTGCGGTGAGGTGGCAGGAAGAAACAGGTGAAGGAACAGGCTGGTGGAAGGGCATAGCGGCCGGGAGGAGGTGGCAAGCATAGCAGACAGAGGGGGGGAGGTGGCGGCACACATAGCGGCCGGAGAGGGGGTTGACGAGTTCCTGTACCTAACAAAGCTCCAGTTGGGGCCCAGCCCCCATCTTGCTGCAGCACCCTGTCCCCAGCCTCAATCCTGGGGCAGGCCTTGCAATCCAGCCTCCATCAGACCGCAGGAAGAGCTGGTGGCAGCTTCCCTCCTGCTGCGGCACGGGTAGGAGAGGAGGCCATGATCTAGCTGCAGTAGGCAGAGGGGGGTTGGCGAGCGTAGTGAGCAGGGGGTGCAACTCCCTAGTAAATTATTTACTTATTTGCTCCATCATTTGCTATGGATACTAAAGTTAAGCAGATAACCCAGGAAATTCCAGATCTGTCGTTATTCCCATTTTTATAGAAGGTACTATATTTGTCCTTTTCCAGTCCTTTGGGATCTCTCCACTTCATGAGTTTTCAAAGATGACCACTAGTTACTCAGATATCTCTTCAGCCAGTTCCTTAAGTATTCTAAGATGTATTTAGTCAGGGCCCGCCAAGAACTTATAATTCTTAACGTGGTGTTTCTCTATTTTTTAAGTCTCCAATCCCCTTTTTTTGGGGGGGGGGAGGAGGTGTTGGCCTTTCTAATTTTGTACAGAGAAACAGAGGGAGAGAGAAATACATTAATCCTTTTTGTAATTTGACATTTCTACTTTTTGTATGACTTCTTTTGAGCTTCAGGTCATTAAAGATATCCTGGTTAAATTAAGATGTCTCTTACCATACTTCCTCTCTTTCCTAAGAATCAGGATAGCTTGCTGTTGTGCCTATAATAAAGTCTTTCTGAAAACACTGTCCACTCTCCTGAGATTTTTTTCTCCTTAGACTTGCTTTTCACAGGATCTTATCTATCAGTTCTGAGTTCTGTTACATTCTTCCACCTTGAAGTTCCACTGTCTCATATTATGAAGGGGGACATGATAGCACTTTCTAAGTATCTAAGGGTATGTCTACACTACAAAGTTAATTCGAACTAACAGCCGTTAGTTAGAATTAACTTTGATAGGCGCTACACATGCAAACTGCAAGTTCGAACTTAATTCAAACTAGCGGAGCGCTTAATTCGAACTAGGTAAACCTCATTCTACGAGGACTAACGCCTAGTTCGAATTAACTAGTTCGAATTAAGGGCTGTGTAGCCACTTAATTCGAACTAGTGGGAGGCTAGCCCTCCCCAGCTTTGTCTGGTGGCCACTCTGGGCACCACCAGGGAAACTCTTCTGCCCCCCTCCCGGCCCCGGACCCCTTAAAGGGGCACAGTCTGGCTACGGTGCCCGTGCCAGGTGCAAGCCTGCCAGCACCCAGCCAGCAGACCCTGCAACTGGCACGGCTCGAGCCAGCCACCCGATGCCCCCCCAGCCCTCCCCCCGTCCCCGGGCCCGGCCGGCCGGGCCCCGCGGC